CAGGACCTGGGATCATGACCTGAGCCGAAGGCAGCGGCTTAACCCACTGAGCCACCCAGGCGCCCCTAAGATTTTATTTATTTATTTGGCAGAGACACAGCAAGAGAGGGAACACAAGCAGGGGGAGTGGTAGAGGGAGAAGCAGGCCTCCCACTGAGCAGGAAGCCTGATGCAGGGCTCCATCCCAGGACCCGGGGATCATGACCTGAGCCGGAGGAAGACACTTAACGACTGAGCCACCCAGGCACCCCTTAATCGGCATTTTTATCATTAGGTATAAAGTGTGATTGGAAATGGAACAAAACGGGCGTTCTTCAGAATTCTTAACATAACAAGTAGGTTCAATCAGAGCTGAATTGTCCAGAGTCACTTCAAGACTAGCTGCTCTCAAGCCAAAAAAAAAATAAAATAAATAAGAGGCACTGCGGAAGATAGGAACAGAGGAGAGAAAACAATGTGTCAATCAGAAAGCAGTTCATAAGTAGCAGAACCGTGTGGCTTGGAGCCTGACAGGCCCAACTCAGAATGCCGACGGCTCCCCAGCCTCCAGCAGTCACTGCGGTTCTGACCCCACGTGTCGCGCCTGTACCACTGCCAGCAGACCCGGGTCCTGGGAGCTGCAAACACGAGCATGCAAATCCCTGACAACAGTGCTGAGCGCATTCATAGCACCCAATAAATACTTCATACCTATGATCCTTTAAAAAAAAGAGAGAGCACGGGGCGCCTGGGTGGCTCAGTGGGTTAAAGCCTCTGCCTTCGGCTCAGGTCATGATCTCAGGTCCTGGGATCGAGCCCCGCATCGGGCTCTCTGCTCAGCAGGGAGCCTGCTTCCTCCTCTCTCTCTGCCTGCCTCTCTACCTACTTGTGATCTCTCTCTGTCAAATAAATAAATAAAAAATCTTAAAAAAAAAAAAAAAGAGAGAGAGAGAGAGCAGTGCAGATTGTGCCTGTGTCCCTGTACACGCAGAGCAGGTGAGAGGAGTCTGCTGTTTTCCGGTCACAAAGGGTGGGTGGCGTGCATTGTAGTCCGACAGCATTTGAACTCTAAAACTCCACGGGTCATTTGCCCGGTGTCAACTGCAGCCTCGCCATGCGTAAAATGTAAATATAGTCTTCACCGTAAAACTGTAAATTAACATTCTGACATTCAAACCAATCTCCGCGCCACCGTAGTCGCAGATAAACTAAACTCCCGTTGGTGCGGGGGAGGGGTTTTCTGTCTAGAGGGGACAGCACATGTCTGAGTGACAGGCAGCACGGAAAGAGGGAGAAAAGGCAGCGAGGTATGAACGTTTTCACTGCTGTGCCTGAGTCATTAGGGGGACTTTTTGGGGTGTAGCCTCCACCACCATGATAACATCCCCCTGCGTGTTTGGTTGGGGTCGCAGAGTACAGGAAAGCTTTCAGGCCAGACCGAATCGTCTGGTGGGCAGTGGATAAGGGAACTCTAGAAGCTCAATTTTCCATCTAACTTCCGTGCTTTTCATATTTACGTCTCACAAGCTGAGCCGAATTTATTTCCAAATCAGGAAGCACTTTACTCTCTTACTCCCACGCCCTATCACAAATCGTGTTAATGATCTATGCTTCAATTTACCATCTCGCAAACCCTCATCAGTTCAAAACCTGGCCCATTCTTAGGGAGACTTCAATCACTTCCGATGTTCACCACATCATATCAAATTAGCCATCCTTAAAACTTGCCTTCATTCACTTGGAGAGGCTCGACAGTAGTCACAGAGAGACTTACTGGATCTGACTCTTTTAATAAAGACAAAAAAGGAGAATTTAGTCTCTCGCATATGTGTCACTGTTGTATTACCAGACTCGAACATTCCGTGTGTAGCCTTGCCTGTTCACTCTCGCACGGTTATTAACATTTTGCTGTTTCTTTGGGTTCACAGAACACAGTGATATAGACCAGGAGACGGCACTGGCCGGCGCGCAGGGCTTCCTGGGCTGTCTCTCTGCCGTGCAGCTCAGCCACGTGGCCCCGCTGAAGGCTGCGTTGCAGCCCAGCCACCCGGCCCCCATCACCGTCTCGGGACATGTGACAGAGTCCAGCTGTATGGCCCAGGCCGGCACTGACGCCACACTGAGAGAAAGGACACACTCGTTTGCAGGTGGCGTGTGGCTCCTCCTTTACACAGTGACAAACACACCGGTCCCCTGGACACTGAGCGCTCTGATGCTGCTGCGGCAGCGTGTTCTCAAGGCGGCCTCTCAAAATTGGCTGTTAGTTTGACGTCCAGTTGTCTTTCCCATTTCTTCTCTAGAGTCTCAGGGCTTTCTTCACGTGAGCCCTGCAGTTGGCACTCCTGAGCTTAAAAAAAATTGTCCGTAGAGATCCCACCTCGACTTTGCTAATTCTGCTCTGGTTTAAAATGTCTTAAGATTTTTATTTTTCCAAAATTTCCTCTTTTGCTTGGCCGTATCACTCCATTCCCCCCCTTTTTTTTATCCTTTCACTACAGATCATTCGGGAACAAGAGGTGACAGACAACCCCATGCTAATGCGATCAGAAGTGACTCTGCAGTGATTGGAGGTAACAGAAAACCTGGATGGGCTCTTCTTTGATACCTCCCATTATTAGAAGTGACAAATATTTAGCATCAGAGAAACCATGAAGAATCCACATACATCCCCAGGGTCAGGCACTGAAGCCTTAGGTCAGCGGGGTTGGTTTCTTATTTATACTGGATTGCCTTTTAGAGTCTTCTTGAATTCCCGACTTCCTTGAAGATGTTCAGTATAAATAATGGATAATTTCACCAAGGCACCACACTCAAGGAATAGTTGCTAAACTGTGTAAAAATGAGTTCTCATTTAGCTTGAAAGTGGCCTTCTGCAGTCCCTAGGGAAATCTGAATATACTGGAGGAAGCAGTACTGTTTTTGTTGGCTTCTTGGAATTTGTCGTATTGCTTCTGCAAGAGTTTATGTAAACAGTAGGAAAAACTTATATTTTATGTTGTGGCCATGCTCAATAAAGTGGATAGTTCCATGGTTTAGGTCACATCAATGAATATTACATTTTTAGTTGCATTTTAGTTGCATTTAGTTGCATTTTTGTCAAATATTAGGCTAGGAATATAAGTGATTCAAAGTTATTTTAAATTGCAGAATTAACCCCCCAAATTTAAAAATATTTCTTGCTGGCAATGAAACAGTATATTTTCTGAGACATAATTTATTTAAAACCAGCCCCCCAAATATATAGTTTTCTTCCTGATCAGTGGTCTTCAAAAGGTTATTAATCACACTCTGCATAGGATAAGAACGTAAAAAGTAAACAGTTATTACATTGCCAGATACTATAATTACTTTTTTAAGAAGTTGGGATTTTACTGAGATAGACAATAGTACTAGTCAAATTTTTGTGAGGATATTAACATCCCCACTGCTATTTTGGGTATTTTTCTTTTATCAAACTACTGGTGGAAATTAAAGATACATAAGATAGAATTCCCATTTAGTCATACAACAAGCAAAAAAACCAACCAAGCAAACAACAGTAAGACCTGCTAGAAGAGTGGTTAATAACCGCATGCCTAAAAGAAATACTTGAGTATATTATTATTAATATGTTATATGGTTAAAAACTCATACAAAGCTCTAGCATTTAATGTGTTTCACGTTTTAAACTAGGATTCCTTGTTAAACAGATTGTCTCAGTCTCATAATGGTGCTTCGTTTATACATTTAACTAGTATAGATATAAGACGATATAGAAAGAGAGATAGATACACGTAGAGAGTGATTGGACAGTCAAGCCAATGCTAAAACAAAATAATCTTTAGAATATTTCGCTTTGGGCAGAGATCATTGGCAGGACTTACAGAATAAAGGAGGGGTGTGTTGGTAAGTCATTCTCTGTTATTCTGGAATGAAAACAAGTTATGGGTCACCTGTGAAATCTCGCTTGGCTCAAAGGCAGAACACAGAGAAAGCGTGGCAAGTTTGCAGCCCAGGAACTGAGGGTCTAGGAATCCAGTCATGTCTGCTTTGGGTCATTGCAGAGACTAAGCATCAGGAGCAGAATAGCTGGGCGTGGCCGTTTCAGCTCCGAAGGCCGTGTCTGGGACCACATGCAATTTATCTGCTCAGTCACAGAATATCATCCTCTGGGGTGTTTCTCCATCTGGTAGCATCGTGATATAATTTTTCACCCGTTGTCTAGTTACTCCTAAATTGCACCCACTGTGTAACAATAATTAATCCATTTAAAATTCCTCCCAATTGGCTAATCACCCTATGTTCTACATTTTAGATGATCTTTCTCTTCACTTACAAACACTGAATAATGTTAAGATAGGAAAATTGTTTGATAAGACATTTAAAACTGGTGACCCAGATATTACACAGGGTTTCTGGCCGAGCTATGCAGATACGGATGGTGAGATTTAGACAAAGAGAAAGTTACGTAATTTCTTCATAAAAACACATTCACACAGAGCCTCAGATGGCAATGTCATAGAGCACGGTGGTTGGCCATATTTAATTTAGTGTATTTTGGGGGGAGGTAGAACAGGTTAGATCGAGGTTTTCCTTGGACATAACACATCCAGACATAATACCTTCCCCAAATTAAAGGAGATAAATCACATACATGGAACAAACTATTTCCAGAGTCCATTCACGATTATGACTGTCTGGATGTCTTGTCTGGGCCACTGTAATGTTGATGTTTATTTTCTAATTGCTGTAGCCTGCTCTCCATAATGGACTTCATCAGTTTTTCACATTGAAATTATTCAGAATATCTCTCTTGATACCAGAGGCCTATAACAAGATACCAAACAATAGAAATATTTATAGCAACTCGACTGATGAAAGGAAAATATAGAAAGCAATTAGATATTCTGAATAAAATTACTACTTATTAATATGACTACTACTAATAAAATAACCACGCCCATCAGTAAATTTTTTAGATTTCAGGTACAGAATTTGGTGTCACATTTATATTAAATTTATGAGCAAGGAATTGCTGTCCTTCTCAGGTAAGGTTGACCCAGCTGACAGTCGGCTCAGCCATTGGCAATACTCTGATTTGATGTAATGAATCTGCCCATTGAATCATGTGCTCAGGAATCAGCTGCGGTTGGTGAGAAATCACAGCTTCTGGTAACAATGATTCAGTGTGTTGGCTTGGTGGGCTCCATTCAAGTTTTACGCACCTAATTGAAACAGGAATGAAGAATCCTAGCTTTACAATATGACAGGTGACCCACCTTGCTATTTCCACCATGCCTACTTTTGTCTAAAAACAACTATATCCGTTAACACCCCCACTGTTCTTATCAGAAAAGTCTAAGTATTAAGAAACTCTCAAATTCATAGTGACGGGCAGTGGTTTTCCAAATTCTATTTTTCATTGGAAAGTTTGACTTTTATTACTGGTAACATACATTGTCCGTTGTTTTTTCTTGAAGTGATGGGCTTACTTCACTCATTTTCAGAGAAAGTATCTGTCGAGTATAAGTCAAAACAACCACGGTTTGTCAGTCATTCTTTCAAATGAAAATGGTGTTCCATGAAGCAAAGAGTACCTAGTTGAGCTCACAAGTCACCTTTTCCTGGGTACAAGTGCTTTTCCTGGGGACAGCCACCATACTGGGAGATACACCCCAAGTACTTTCTGTTTCATCGTCCAAAATGTTAAAAAGGCAAAAAGCCAAAGGTTCAGATTTCATAAAATATTGTAGTGTTTCATCAAGGGCACTCTCAAGTGAAGCTAGCTTTTTTTCTTTTTTTCCAGGGTTGCTTGGCAGTGTGTAAATGAATTCAATGACCACTGTCATAGTTTGGTAGCCTTGTCTTAATTTATGCTACAGTATCAGGAATTTTACCCAACCTTGTTTTTACATTAGCAATGGATATGTCAACACAATGGAAAAGTCATCTTAGAATTATTATGAAAATAGCTTTGACCCTGTGGACCTCCTCAAAGTGTCCTGGGGGCCAACAGGGACTCACAGATCGCACTTTGAAGAACTTCTAGCCCAATGGAATGCCAAGATTGATACCCATATATTGGTATAGTTAACAGTTGTGGTATTTAAGACTTTGATTTATAACCAGATGTTTCAGAACATCAATATTCCTCATATAGAAATAAGCTAAATCATCTATATTATCCATATGAATATATTTCACTAATCAGGATCAGTCAGATACCTATATCCTGGTCCTCCTACTAATCAGCAGTATGACGAACTATTGCAGATTAACTGAATTACAATCTTTAAGTATTTAAGTACAAAAGCACATTTAGTCATTTTATAATTACTACTCTCTATAATTTTAAAATAATTAAAATCTGTGTATTAATATGCCATGATCACATGGTCTTACAGACATGTCGGTAACATCTTGTGTTTAATGTAAACACACTAAAAAAATTTAAAATAAATGGAAATGCACTAAATAAATCCAGTATTACACGCATGCAGAGTAAACCAAGGCAAACCTACCAGGCTGACGGAACTCAGAAACAAACTCAATGTATTACGATACCACCCAATCCAGAAATACCTGAAGTTTGGGGTATTTTTTAATTTATAGATACCAGATGTTCGGTTTATGTGGAAAATAATTGTATTATGACTTATTAAGCAATGAAGCCAGCAGGGCTTCCATGTGGACAAAAATTCTGATTTTGCATTGTTTTCTCTTCTCTCGCTAGGTTTGATAGCTGTTGTGGTCTTTATCTTGCTGTGCATTGCTGCCATAGCCGTTCGCATTTATCAGCAGAAAAGGTTATACAAAAGGAATGAGGCAAAAAGGTCAGAGAATGTAGACAGTGCCGAGGCTGTTTTGAAAAGTGAGCTTAATGTACAAAGCGCAGTCAATGAAAATCAGAGAGAGTACTTCTTCTGATGGGCGGCTGTGACTTAACTTGCAGTTCCGACGGTCTGTTCTAATAGCCAGGGGCTCTCAGTGGACAAGAAAACGCTCTTTCACTGAACGTACAGGCACTGGATTTGCAGCTCTGCCATCTTGCCATAGCCAGACTCGAGGTGGCTTCAGGAGGCCTCGTGCAGTGACGTCTTTCCCATAGCAGTCGTTCCATAGAACAAAGAATTTGCTATTGCTCTTAATTTCCAACTGTTCTGATAGGATCTAAAACAGAAGTTTGACTTGCTTGATGACTACGGTTTTTGAATGTGAGCACTGTAGCCCTGGTCTCTCGATCATGTGATACATCAGTTTTGTTAGAGGTAAAAAATCCAAATTGGACTATAACGACCTTGCTTTATTTGAGAACATGCGCTGTGTTTGCTTTAGTGTCCCTCGCGGTTTTATTCATAGGCCTGGAAATGCTTCTCAGATCCCGTTTGGCTGGCGTTTGCATCTTCAGTGGCCAAAAGTATATCAACCCTTTGCCTTTCTCTGTATTACATTCAATACAATTTATCAATAGTCTTGAAAGATGTTTTGTTGTCATTGGTTTGATCGTAGTGCTCTTTTTCTATTTGACTCTTCTTAATGATTTTGAACACATTAGGTTTGGAGTGTCAGACTTCAGCTCTGAACGTAAAATCCATATGTGACAAGACTCAAGAGAGTGCATTGGTTGTCCGCGTGTGATGTCTGCCTTTTAAATTTCTCATCCTCTGCTGTCCGTGTTCGGTGCTGGCAGTAGGGAAGATGCTGGATGACGCCAGTTTCCCAAAGAATGTGAAGTGTTTGCAACCACTAAACTTGTTGATATAAAAAACACAATTCTTAACAATGCCAAAAAAATATTTTTATTTACAACTGTAATGTCTCGTATGAAATGTACTTCTGAGAATACTTTCCCCGAGCCTTATGCCAGTTTTCTTTATATGTTTGTACTTCTGTTTTTCTAAAGCCTGTCACCAAATTTTCTTTGATCTCCCTTGACTATATTCTGTGGAGCATGTTCCTTATGTATTAAAAAAAAAAAAGAAGAGAGTTTGAGGTGGAGCACTCCATTCCCCGTTCTAAAATGTATACCCCTTCAGACATACATTTTTCCGTGCACTGACCCCCAGGACAGACTTTTTGAAGTAGAAACTGCAACATGCCCCCTTTCACCAAAGCCAGTGGAGCGGTTTAAGGACCCTCACTCTAAGGGGTGGCAGCATATTCTATGATCTGTGTGAAGCCCGCCATTCTGTGGTGTCTCATTTATGGTGACGGGGTGATTTCTTAAAAAGTACCAAAAATCAGTATAACCTACTGACTAGTACATTCTGATTAGGGCGTGTGTGTATACATACCAAGAGAGCAGAGGATTATCAGTAACCTTAGGAAACTTGTTGCAATATGGATTTTGAGGCAAAGCAGACAAGATGGGTGCATGTAGTCATCTTGAAATTTCATAAGCTGATTATGTAATAAAGGCACTTTGCTATTTATGATCACACGTTCTAGGTGCCTGGCAAGGAAAAATTGGATTCCTTCGTGTGTCCACACCGGAACAATCTGGAAATACATAAACTAAGCATCGTATTTTCCTTCTTAACTTCCTTACGGAAGCTGCTCGTCTTTCCCATAGCTCTTTATCCATTTTACTGTTTCTGTAAATGCCTGACTAAGTCATAGGATATGATTAACATAGTAGCTTATGAAGGACCTATGTTGATAAAGGGCACACTTTTTTTTTTAAATTGAGACTTGAAGGATTAAACATGGACATGGTAGTTTTTATTTGATGCAAAGCCAAATACGAACATCGTAACAGCCCTGATCTGTTGCAAGTGCTCATGTGATTTAGTGGCCACATTAGCCCGGTTGGAGATGTAGACAGGTTTACAGATGGGGAAGCCTCATGGTTCTGTGTGGTCCGCACTCCTGGAACCTGCACCATTATGGCATCCAAACGCATTGATTCATCCTATGTCCTGATTTTCATGTCCTGATTTGTAATCTCTTCCATCTTTTTTTCTTAATAAAATGCATTTTTGAAGTAAAATGCAGAATATATTTTAAGAGATGTTGTATAAAAGTTTAAAATGAGGGAATTATACTGGATTTTCATTTTCTTAAAACAGTAAAAAGATGTGTGGATGTTCACCTTCTTTACTGGTGGTCTGTGTTTTTTAAACTTTTGGTATATCCTGTGATTATTATGAATTGTTGACAAAAACTACATTTCTTACGCATTTTCTTTTTAAATGGATGCAAAAATGACAGGAAAAAAATGGTTATTGATTATAACAAGCAAAGGCAGCCGAACTGTATTTAAAGTTTTGCCAGAGACAGTATTTTGTCAGCGATTGTTTGTTGAAAGGTTTTGTGTATTTAAGTTGGGTGATATCCTTTTACTTCTGCAGAGAAAGCTGCCTTGGGCACTATATCAATATGCAGGTTTATATATATATATAAAGAGAGAGAGAATATACATATATATATATAGAGAGAGAGAGAGAATATAGTGCACCCTTCTATGGTACAAACGTTTAAAAAATTCCTTATCTGTGATTTCAAATGAAAATGCTATATAATTAACATTCTGTTTTTGAGATGACGAACTTTCCAAATCTTGTTAAATTCAGATGTACAGTATGCAAATAGGGTGGAATTAATGTGGCCTTGAAACCTTGCCTCTATGAAATGGGGGTCATTTGTGGGAAATGATATCTTCGTTTTGTGGAAGTTCTGTGCCACTGAATTGTGCCTCATCCACTCTAGGAAATAGCTTCATTTTTAAAAAAATCCTTTCCAAGTGTCACTCTTTGAAACACATTTAATAAATTCCTTAGACAGTAAGGTGAACAAGGAAAAGCAGCTGACAGCCAACCGAACAGAAGCCAATTATTCAAAATCGGTAATGGTAAAAAATAAATAATTCTTAATGGTAAAATTAAATGGTAAAAAATTAAATGGTAAAAAAATATATATTTTACCAGCAAAAGTGGGTTTATTCAGGTAGAGCAAAGAAATGCAATCTTGGGCAACAGCCTATGGCAGAATTCTAGGCAGGTTCCCGGAACAAAGGGGTGGGGAGGATGCTGGCTTTTCATTGGCTGAGCCGTGGTTGTCTCTCATTGGCTGGGCTGTTGCAGGGTTGGGGAGAAGGAAAGCCCTTCTTCCTGCTGGGGTAGTAGTTTCCAGTGCAAGGTGGTCTTTTGCAGTTGGGTCTGCAGTTGAGGACTGGTAGGGCATCAGGCCTCCCCCTGTTGGCCTCCCCGCTGCATTCTAAATGAGGTTTCCTTTTATAATTTTTCACAAAATCATCTTTCATTAGTTGATATTGTCCTTCCTATATAACAGACTCTTGGAACAGTACCCATCATGCAACCGGAGAGCACTGATATGTTATTATATGATATTATCTATTAGTGCAAACCACTCAGTTTTACTGATGAAATGTCTAGGACACAGATAAACAAGGTGATGTCCCCAAAGGGATATGTAGCAATGTGGAAATGGTGAAGCTGTGATTAGAATTTCCTTTTCACTCCTCATGTTGCTGATCTTGGTACTTCCAAGACCTGGAGTTTTGACAGTTATCTCTTGGTGTAGAAAATTTGAAGGCTCTTGGTGGTCTTTTTGACCGGAATCACCTATAGTTCTAGATCTTTCCCATACCCTTTAAAATGAACATAAACGTTTTCTGATAGGTCAGATTTGGTTTTCTTTAAAAAATGTTTATTAAGTTGATGGCCCAGGACTCTAGGAGAGATAATCATAACTGGGACACTTTTATGTAGTCTTTGTGAAATATGCAATATGAGTTAGATCTGACAGATTGAGTCACCAAATATTTTCCTTTTTTAAAAAAAATTATTTATTATTTTTAAAAGATTTTATTTATTTATTTATTTATTTGTCAGAGAGAGAGAGATCACAGGCAGGCAGAGAGGCAGGCAGAGAGAGGGAGGGAAACAGGCTCCCCGCTGAGCAGAGAGCCCAATGTGGGGCTTGATCCCAGGACCCTGAGATCATGACCTGAGATGAAGGCAGAAGCTTAACCCACTGAGCCACCCAGCTGCCCCAAATATTTTCCTTTTAATAGAGGAAAGAGATGACATAGACTCAACTCATATCAACCTATGTTCAGTTGATTGGCTTTTCAATCCTTGTGTCAACTACATGATGAATCTACCAGAAGCTTTCAGGATGTCCTGGCAGTTCTTTAATTTCCCCAAAGTTTTGGGTGATGGGAAGAAACAGGGAAGAAAGAGAATCAAAGCCCACTGTGTATTTGTGTTGGGGACCTGTGTGAGTGGGCACATGCATGTGTACAAGAAAGAATATGAGATGAGGAGAAAGGGAATATGAAACAGTTTGCATATAATTTAGTAAAAGAGTTGGACTTTTGGTGTGGCGAGAGCTTCCCTGGGGGCTGGTTTTGAAATGAATGAAATGAAATGAAAATGAATGGAAAACAATCTGACTCACGATTATAATGACTTCTCCAGTGCAGTCGTTTGTTTTTTTTTTCCTACTTTTTCTTTTCTTAAATTTAAATATAAATTTATAACATTATGTTTAAATTTTTGTTAAGAAAATACATGCATATATTTTAAAAATGAAACCAGCATAAGAAATCTTACAAGGAAAAGCAGCTGTCTGTTGCCATATCCCCTCCTGGTCACTTTCTGCTCCTCTGGCTGCCTCGTCTGAGCTGCCTCCATTTCTTAATCACATGCTGTAGTGGACTGGCTTCCCTGGGAGGCAAAATGTGAGACAGCAGTTATGAGGGATGTTTATCGGGGGTACCGTCTGGAACAACATCTGTAGGGGGCAGTGGGGACGAGGCGGGGTGGGGCTGAGGGAGAAGCTGGGGCTATGGGGCAGTCACCACAAGGGTACTGCCAACCCTGCTCATAGGGCCCCTTAAAGATGTCCTGCATGGGAGTGAGGAGGTTGGACATTTACTGTCTTGGATCAACCAGGCATTGCATGTTGACTGCTCGGCAAAGTGGGCATGAACTTGGATAAACAGCTCTCTTCAGCTTCAGCAGCTCCTAAAGACGGGGGGAAAACCGCTCAGCATCTGGGGTAAATAAATCATTCAGTCCCGAGTAGGGAGGGATCTTGGGAGCCCAGCTCAGCATCCCTGAGGATTCGCCCCGCTGCAGCTCAGATCCACCATCATATAAGTTCTGGGATCAGCTCCTTCAGGACGCTG